AACACCAACACAAACCTCATTTGGTTACGATATAGTAAAAAAAAATTATAGTATTAGTTAAAACGGGCTAATTCTATATAAGCAAATAATATATAAAATAAATATGTAATAAAATTAATACTCATTGTAGTTCAATGTTTCGACACTAAATAATGATGAGATAATAGAGTCTTAATTATATATTGGCAAAAAAAAACATCAATCTTGTTTAATTATTCATGTTTTTTATTTATTTGGTGGGTAAAATAGTAAATTTATAAATTAATACCCTTGCATTAGACTATATTAATACCACATCCCAATATGGTATTATAATTGACTCAATACTACGGATAAAGTGCATTATTTGGATAAACATTCAAAATAAGACTATATATAATACAAACATTTTTTTGTAATAAATGCAGTATAAGGTTGAATTATAAAATTTTAATTTATTATGACTCATTTAATACACCCATTAATACGGAAACCAAATGATTCAAAAAATGGTTTAAGTCTTCCTTAAATCATATGTTTAATAACTCATTTATATATCAATTATACATAATTTAGATACAACACAAATTTAATATGGTATAATTCATTAGATACGAATATTTGTATAATAAATCAGATAGATATTTGAATTTATAAAAGGTATATTTTTTTTTTCAAATTTTACACACCAACACACTTTTTCCCATCAAATTTTAAAAATTCAACACACACTCTATAACACACAATTACACATACATACACACACTTCAACACATATTTTAATGCATGCACGTTGTTATAATTCAATATACAATAACTTTAGTTATGGAATATTATTAGTTAATTTATAAGTGGACTATTTTTTTACGTGTTTCCGTACAAATCCGTTTAATTCGATACGATAGATAGATGAAAGTACAAAGTACAAGGCAACCCAAGTCCAATTTAGGCCTGTAAAATGTCCAACCCGACCAGCCCGAAATGGCCCGGCCCGTTTACTTGAACTTTTGAGTTAAATAGTCCGAATCTACAATGTCCCACTGTCCCTCACCGCCTGACCTCGTCGGCCACATTTACTGCAACACTCTCAACTCCAAGCCATTTGTTCCCAACAAAAAATGGAATTCCTCTCAAGCAAAAAAGAAAAAAAAATGGAATTCCTCTCAAGGTATTCTCAAAAACCAGACTCTGAAAGACCTAAAATCCAAACCCTAGATCGAATCACTGTCTTACCAGACACAATTCTCCTTCACATTTTCTCTTTCCTACCCATGGAAGATGTTGTCAAAACCTGTATACTATCAAAGCAATGGAGGTTTCTTTGGACTACTGTCTCGGCCCTCATGTTCAGCCACCGTAACCAACCTGATGAAGACCTCTGTAAGTTCATCTCCTTTGTGGACAAAACCCTGGTGTTAATCAACTGTCCTAAACTGAAAATTTTTTCAGTTGATTTCGCATACCACCGTCGTTTTTCTGCTGATGTTAATGTCTGGCTTTGTTTCGTTACGAAACATGGTGTGGAAGAGCTCAAATTGGATTTTTCCAACAAGCATAATTTTGGGTCTGGTCTTTTTCAATTGCCTCAGCATTTGTATAGTAATGGGTCGTTTGTGAAATTGAGTTTATCAATGTGTGGTATTGTGCCTAAAGGGTTGATTAGTTGGAAATCACTGAAGAGTTTGACAATTGGGTCCACGGAGTTAAGTGGTAATATGATTGGAAACATAGTGTTGGGTAGTCCTGTTTTGAATTTTTTGGAGCTGTTTAATTGTTGGGGCTTCGATAAGCTGGAGATTAATGGTGGGAGTTTGAGGAAATTGGTGATTAATGGGTATTTGAATCAGAAAAAAGGGGACTCTGTTGTTGAGATTTGGGCTCCGGGTGTTCGGTCTTTGGATATTTTGGGGTGTTTACATGGGAAAATTATTCAACTAGAGAATATATCGTCTACGGTTGATGCTAAGCTGGATTTCTACTTAACAAAGATTAATCATGACGCTGATGATGATTTTAAAATGGAGAAATTTATGTTAAGTGATATGCTAGTCAGCATTCAGCTTATTAAGTATCTTACATTTGGAACTTGGTTCATTGAGGTTTGTTTCCGCCCTAAATTTAATTCGTCTCGTTTTGCTTTTCCCATCCATGTCCTGCATGTTTTGCTTTATACTTTGATTGGTTATTGTAAGATTTGTTGCTCAAATATGCAGAATATTTCTTACTGAGAATGGGGAATGCCCTTGTGTGCCTTTTTTGCTACATATTTAGAATTAAAACTCGTGCCTCATAAAAGTTGTCTTTATCAATGCAATTCTCTTAATTCTTCACTTTGGAATGATATAGACATCAAAATTTTATTGTGTCCTTTAAAATAGTTCAATATGCCTTAGAGGCCTACAGAAAAGGAGTTTCATAATTCTTTGTGCATTGTTTTAAGTAGCTCTACCGAATGATTAATAAAAACAGGAGATCGACCAACAAAAAAACATGGCATTCATGACCAAAAGAAAAGAAGGAAACAAGAAAGCTAATGACAGGGCAATCAACATAATCAATGATATCGGTATATTTGACTTGTAATAATATTGCTTTAGCACTTTAGTTATTTAACAAGAAGTGGTTTGTAATATCACAACTGCTGCTGTTGTGGTCATGTTATTTATTGCTGTTATCCATTTTCCTATGTGTGTGTGTGTACGCACATGCAAATTAACAATGAATGACCATTGCATTTTCAACTATCACAGTCTTCTTTGATCTAATTCATGGTAGAGTTGTAAAAGCACGATCTCATATCTTGTGCAACAGTTATGGATATACGTTACATCTTGTAGACCAATAGAAAGAAGGACGCCAAAGTTTTAGTTCATATAAGAATGCATAAAGTCAGCATTGTTGCTCGTGGGATATATCAATAAGGATGACAAAGCTCATCTCTATTTTGTTAAGTTTCATTGTAGAACTTCGGAACAATAAGAAATGTCTTCTTCCAGGATGTTTTATGCACAGATTAGTAGTATTCACAGATTGGATTTATCTTGTTCATGTGTGGCTTCTTTATCTTCTTGCTTTGATTGGCAGGTTCTATCCATGCTGGAGATTAAAGGTTTGCCATCTGTCTTGCCGAAGTGCAAACGTTTAATGCTACATACTCCTATCCAGGAACGGTACCTCTCTGGGATAGTAAACCTGCTACATAGTTCACCTGACGTGGAGACATTAATCATAAACATGACCCCACCATCTTTTGAATTTGAGGTTTGCTTTCTGGAGACATTTTTCCCATCTATTTGTTTTACATTCATAACTCGAGGTGTGCTTAGATTGGTTTTTAATGATTGATAACTGCCAATCAATCTCTCCTTTCCCCTCGTATTATAATTCCTATCAATTCTAGATGTCGCGGTGACTACGAGAATAGGCAGGTGTTCCATGTTTATCAGAATTTTAAATGGGCTCTTCTAGAGTTTGGAGATGGAGTTTTCTGTTGATCTGATGTGCTCCCACATCCCAATATTTTCACATTCTATTTCTTTTCTTGCAATTATATCTAAAGTATATGGGAGTCTTTACTGAGACTATCACTGGTGATTTGTCGAGGTTGCTTTAAGTGACTCCCTATAAAATTTGATTATATGCATTGCAACCTATTAGATAATATTGGTTTAACGGAAATCTTCGTCTGTAGACCTGCTTCAATGCAAAAATTTCCAACTTTTTCAATGTTGATGGAGAGAGCTATTGGACATCAAAACAGAAGCTTTTCAGATGTTTGGACCTTCGTCTCAAGACTATTAGGATTTCTGGCTTTGAAGGCAGGCACTGTGGACTTGAGATTCCATTTTTACAATTTCTTCTTAAGAGTTCAAGGGCATTGGAAAAAATGGTCATCAATGGTCGTGGTGTTGGACAAGATGATTTGGTACGTGGTGCATTTCAAGACCAGCTTCAGGTGGCTGAAAGCTTATTAAGCTTCCCTAGATCCTCTAAAGGTGCTGTAATTATATTCAAGCATTGATATTCTTTTCATACTGCTACATTTTCTTGGATGTTGTTTAGTTTACACACATACCTAAACCTGGTGAACTTTCTCTTTGTTGTATACATTGTATAATCGGAAAATTTTTGGTTGTGTTGCACTTGAACTGATTCATTTCATCGTGCTATCTTGTTGCTTTCTGAGAAATTTTTGTATCAAGTACTTTTGGGGGTGGAATTGAATCAGCAAAAAAATTATTGTACAAGTGCTTAATTTTGAAATCACTGGATACCCTATGTGTGTTCTGCCAAGGGTATACTGGCTCAAGGATATATTAGGTTATCAGATTATTGGAAAATGTTATTTTTTTTGTGTCGATTTAGCAATTCTGGGAAGGGTTATTATTTTTCCACACGACTTAGAAAAACTTCCTCGGCATTAAGATGAACCACCACCACCACTCCTGCCAGTCTTTAATTAAAATTGGAGGATTCACTAAATTTTTATATGGTGAGGATCTATCTATATTAACAAATCCTCATTGTTCATAAGGAATTAGAGTATACTACATTTGTTTCATCGTTGATTATGAGACCACCACCTCCCTTCCTATTTAAGCAAAGGTGAGTGATAAGCATAGGCTACGTGTAGGGCAATGAGCCGAGCTTGAACGAGCCAAAAATAAGCCGAGTCCAAGTATTTACATATAAAAGAATCGAGTCTATCGAATTTGAGTCGAGTTTGTAGAACTTGTTTTCTAAACGAGCCTAAAAACTTGATCAAGTTCGGACTCATTTAGAAAACAAGTCGAAACCAAGTTAAACTCAAATAACTTAGTTTGATTAATACCCCTAGATGCGTGCTAGAATGACAGTGACAGCGTGACCCGTTAGTGTGGTTTTTTTTCCCTTTATTTGCTTGTGAAAAAAGGAGAGAGGACAAATAAGTTCATTCGGAGAGTAATTCGATAGACTCTCATTAGTGAGATCATGAGGTTTTTAACCGTGTCTATTATTCCTCTCAGGAAGAACTTAGTTATAGTTAAGCTAGCATAATGTAATAACCATCTCACGTATAAAAATGATGTGTACTTTGTCCATTTCATTTTTTCTTATTAAATAATGACACTATGTAACGACGATAACGTGATATTGTTGCTTTAGGTACCTAAATCTGCTACAAGTTGGAGTTCACAAATACTGGCTTGTCAGTGAAATCCTCCAAAAATGTGGTCAACTCTTTGTTGGCCTGCAAGTTGGTACATCCATTATAGAATCAAGCCACCCCATTTCGTCTCTTCCCATGACCTAATGATCACTAAATATAAGTGGCCTCAAATAATTGTTACCTAAAAAGTATTTTGAGGACCTAAGCACAACAGGAATTCAATCGATTTGGACAACATTCCAAATGGTTTACGGGTGATTGAACATAAAAATAATACATGTTTGCAAAGAAAAATATTATTTGAATTTAATTTATTGATCTTATATTGTGACTTAATACATCATATATATTGAATTGATAATGAATTTTAATTAATAATAAAACGTGGGACTAAGGTGTTGCTGCACTAAAAGTCCGTCAAATAATTTACAAAAATGAGTTAACTATTTATTTGACTTTTGAATTATATCATTTGTGTTAATCAAACTCATATACTATAATTTGTGTCAATTTAACCTTGAAATTATACTATTTTATGTCATTGTTGTAACCCTTCCGCTAAATTCGTTGTTAAATTTGACAGAATTTCTCGTGTATACAATACGTGATCTCTAAATTATACCCTAATTCCTGACCCGTGTGATGCGCACGTGAAAAATTTCATTGAAATTAACCACGAATTTAAACAAAAGGGCTACATTAACATAAAGATGATGAATATGGTGGAAACGTTGACGGGGTAGTTTGAGATGATGAAGATGATAATTTTGGGGCTATATTTGTTTTTTTTTTAATTTAAAATAAAGGGTATTAAGGTTATTATATTTTCACACTTAACAAAATTAAATGTTCATTTTAGTCCATCAACCATAAGAGAGTTATGTGCTATTTTCAGACCTTAGGGAGGTTATGTGCAATCAGAGTATACCACGAGGGGATAAAACGAAGTTTCCCTTTTTTTTTTCTTTTTGATCATCCAAATAAATAGTTAACTCCACACAAATTGAAGGTTCTGTCCAACCCAACGGGAAAATAGACTGAGCTTCGGTTTCTCAGTCTATAAAAGAAATCAATCTCTCACCTTTGTGTGAAAAATCAGATTAATACCCACGTCAATTCCTTCACAATCGCACCTGTACGGTAAGTGAAGAAATCAATCTCTCAACTTGTTTGAGAAATCAGATTAATACCCACGTCAGTTCTTCACACAATCCCACTTGTACGGTAATTGAAAATCTCTCTTACTGTGCTTAACCGTCTATATCATTTGTTTATCATCTTGCCCATTCATTTCCCCAATTTGTTTTCAACAGTTAGATAATATGTGAATTTGATTATGGCTTAATGGGTTTTATTGATTCCATCAGAACACTCTCTCTCTCTCTCTCTCCCTCTCTCTCACAGAAGCTCCATAAGACAAACTCCACAGCACCGAAGCTCCACAGCACCCCGAATTTCGTCTTTATCAATCACAGAAGCTTCACCGTCCACCCATGTATGTAGTTCTCTCTCTCAGAACCTCTGTGTATTTATACCACAAAAAAACCCACCGAAAATCCACCGAAAAACCCAGCGAAATCTGTCTTTCGGTTCTCTCTCGCTGTCTTCGCTCTGTTCCGGTTTGGTGGAGAGAAGAAATTAGAAGTAATGAAATTTTCTTATTATGAAAATTTTTGCTTGGGTTGTGTGGAATGAGTTGCTTGGGTTGTGTGCAATTTTTCTGGAATTTGTCCGATATTTTTTCTGATTTTTTTTTGTTAGCTATGAATTTTTTCTGGAATTTTTATGATTTTCTGGTTTAGCAGTGAATGACAAAATCTAAGGAAATGGTTTGAACTAAAAACACGATCTATGAAAATTTGTGAATTGTGGTTGAATTAGTTAAAGTTAATTGAAATAGTCAGTTAAAATAGAGAGCTTTGTTAGAGTGAATTAGTAGGAGTTGCTCTTTAAAATAGATAGTGTAATAAAAAAGTATATTTTGACTAGCTATTTTAGATAGTATCCTATACAAATAAATCCATCAACTAATTTGTGTTTCTATTTCAGATATATTGTGTTGGGGGATATATATGCAGAGTTCCTTTTGTTAATTGCATTGTCCATGGCCAATTCTTTGAGGAAGGTAGTGTCAAGTGTAATCCTTGACTTGGATGGTACACTTCTAAACACAGGTGGGCTTCTTTTCTTGAATAATGTCTAGTATATTGTGGGAAGCATAATGTTGATTGTTCCTTTATGAAGCCAACCAATAATGCAATCCACCAAAGATACATTAAATTCTGGAATTTTCCTAATGTAAACATCATTAATGTACAGTTCTGATGTGTGCCTATAAGCTGCACATGGAACATACAAATCAGTTCTTCTTCTCATATTACTGTTTGGTTCGGCCTTTCCTTTGGTCAATGTCGAGCTCTGACTGCTGCCTGCTTACTTTAATGTTAATGTTTTTTTTCCTGTTCTATTCATAATCCAATTTCTATTTCATGGCAGATGGCATTGTAAGTGATGTTTTAAAAGTTTATTTGGTTAAGTATGGGAAGCAATGGGAGGGAAAAACAGCTCAAAGAATTGTAGGAAAGACACCTTCAGAGGCTGCAGCTGCAATTGTGGAAGATTATGAGCTTCCCATACCAACGGATACACTTATGTCAGAAATTTATCCACTGTTCTGTGATCAGTAATTCTCCTGTATCTTAACTTTAATTGTTAGTTATCTGTGTCGTCCAAAGACTTCTAGTATGGTGGTTCATATAACTGAAGCCGTAGAAATTTCAGTTTACATAGACAAAGAGATATATGCAGGTTTTAACAGCGTAAGTCCTCCCAATCATTATTGAGATGTGAAGCTTTCTAAATTTTGGGAAAGAAACTCTGGTGGTAATGGTCCCACCCCAACACACATCCGCACCTACCCACCCTCCCACCCCACACAAACAAACAAAACAATCCAGGAAACAAAAATCATTTTACCCCTATTTTATTTATTTTTTGATAAAAGAAGAATTTATTAGAAAAGGGAATCGAAAAAGAGGATACATTGTGGAGGACAAGATATCCTAAAAAATAATAAAAAACGCAATATAATGAATAACTATGGGTTGACAATAAAGCAACACCGCAGTCCAATCCCATTAAAGATTCGACAGAGGTAGCCCTGTAAAACTTCCTGTGGCTTTGGTCCATAGAGAAGCCATAAAAACAACTCTTTCCTATACTAACTAGAAGAATATGATCATTGAATATTCTTGTATTCTTCTCCATCCAAATGCACCTAAGTAGTGCCATCAAAGCACAGTTCCATAGTAGTTTTGCTTCATTTTTCTTTCCAAAAACCCAAAACTTAATGTGCAACAATTCTTCTACTGTAGAAGGATAAACCCAAATCTCACCGGCCAGCTTGAATAAATTATTCTACTAAATTGCATTGGAAATTACATCTTCCTTCTTATGGTGGATGTGGGTGCTGGGTCTTAAGATATCTTGGGAATACTAGGAGAGAGTTCTTTAAGGGAAGAGAATGGGTTAGGGAATCATCAGTTTGCTTGATGTTTCTGTTCACTGGTTTTCTTAAAGTAGTGGGTTTTTCCTTAGTCAAGTATGTAAAAATTTTGGATTTTGTGGAACCAAGTAGGAGATATGGACTACACTCTGGTGTTAGTTTCATGCAGACTGATCATAAATTCTTAATTGCCCTCCTCCCTTCCCCAAAGTTTGTTCTAAATGCATTAATGCAATTGTCATTGTAGATGGGGCAGTATCAAAGCCCTTCCCGGTGCCAATCGGTTAATCAAACATTTGAGGGGCCATGGCGTCAAAATGGCATTGGCTTCAAATTCCCCTAGGGCAAACATTGAGGACAAGATATCTTACCATCCTGGTATGTTTTAGAGACCTCAACCATGTTCTTCTCTAACAGATGAGGAAAATAAGCTAGTGGCATTATGACATGCAATGAAAAGTTCTTGCTCTGTGTATGTTATTCCTGAGCTTATTTGCCCATTATTTTCCCTTCACAGGCTGGAAAGAATCCTTCTCTGTCATCATTGGCGGTGACCAAGTAACTGCAGGAAAGCCATCTCCTGAAATGTAAGGGACAAAACACAGGAGTTGGTCCTGATTTCAACATTGGTTGTTTCTTGCGGAAATATGTCATGGATATGTTTTTCTCTGACATTCTAACCTTATCAGTTTTACTATTTTTAGATTCCTTGAAGCAGCTAAAAGGTTGAACAGTGATCCTTCCAGCTGTCTTGTCATTGAAGATTCAATGTGAGTTGCTTTTGATTTCTTTTAACAGCACTCAGTTGTCTTTTTGTCCAATTATCTTGAAAGATCCATATTGTGTTGAATGGCATACCCTTAGCATTTCTGAGAACTTATGCGAAAGAATCAATTAGGGACTTGGTAGATGTTGCCCCTTATGATTTTTATGCTTTTATTAACCATAAAATGTTACTTGAAAGTTGTTCTTTGCATGCTTAATCAGAATTTTTGTTATCTTTGCTAACTCATATTAATCGGCATAATTACTAGAAAGTTGAATTCCTTTGAAGATGGTGAGGAGGTAGAATGTAGTGAATTAATGTGCTCTTCTCTTTGAACAAGAAAGCAGTTAAATTAGGTTGCACTTACATAAACTACATATGGAACAGGTTGTGGGAAGCGGTATTTATTTATTTTTGATAGGAAACAAACTCTTGTATTAATAAAAAGTAAAGGATAAGTTACAGAAAAGAAGTTGGATAAGAGATCTTACTGAAAAATAAGTACAAAAGAGCCAATAAATCACGTGAAGCTCTCTATCTCGCTAAAATAGCAAAAAAGGGAATCCCATTGAGCTCTTTCGTTATTGAAGCGCAAAAAGATGTTAAGTAATGAATACGGTTCCGCATTCCATCCACACATTCACTTCGATCTTCAAAAATTCACATATTTCGTTCTTTTCGAATGACTCAAAACGTAACCATTGTAGCACAATTCCAAAGAGTAACACTTTTATCAAGTCTTCCCAAACTATTTATATCTTCAACAAACAAAGAAGTTGAAGTTGCAGGAATCACCCAACTCAAGCACGCTTCACGAAACGGATGGTATAACAATGTCAAGGCAATTGAACAATGTAGAAATAAATGGTCAATGCTCTTGAGATCATATTTACACATCACACACCACTATGGGGAAAGACAAGAGTGAGACCTTCTTTTCTGAAGCATGTCATTAGTGTTTATCTTACCATGCATAACCGTTCATGTGAAAATTTGTATTTTAACAGGGACATTAGCTTTCCAAATCATCCTAGCAGTAATGGACAAGGGATAATTATTTTCATCTACCAAATAATTAACAAAACAATCTAAACGAAAAGGCTTCCGAAGAATCAAACAATCATCTTCTTTTATTACCAGACTCGGCATTAACGAAAACATTACTAAGAATACCAATAACTAAGATCAAATCAATGTATCTCTATCATCTAAATTCCTACTAAAAAATCAAAGTCCCATGAATACGAATAATCATATGAATGAAACATAGGCGCAATGTAAGAACCATGAGAACAAGATAACTGATAAAGACGGGAAACAAATATGAAAGAGAAGATTCTCCCACCCACACATCCTCCCAAAAACTTATTTTTTTCCCATTACTTACTACAATCCTAACACTTTGGGAAAACCTCGTCAATCATTGAGAAATGAATTTCCATGGAATTCGGAAACTTCCCCACTCAACAACATTAGTGTCCCATCCATTGGTATGTATCCCATATTTGTTTTTGATAATTAAATGTCACAAAAAATTTATTTCCAAGGGAAACCTCCAAAGCCTAACCACTAACGAAACATTTCTCGCCTTCCAAATTTCCAATTGAAAGATCTCCTTTATCCCTAGATTTAGAAACGACCCCCATTTGATCAAGTGATCCTTTTTTTCCTTCCTCACTTCCTTTCTACTAAAAATTCCTCATCATTTTTTCGATATTCTTCTTGGAATTTTGAATAAAGATAAAAAGTATATGGGAATACTACCTAGAACTGACTGCACCAGAATTAACTCACTGGGACTATTTGAAGAATTAAGAACTATATTGTAGCTTGAGTTTCTGCTGTACCTGTGAATATTACCTGCAAACCTCGATCATGTGGTCACAAAGCTATGAGTCTCCATAAAGGGTCGCTTGATTCCTTCATCATTTTCAATTTGGTTGCCTCTCAATGCTAAGAATTAGGTTTATAGGTAGTAGCTACTGAAGTTCGTTAGATTAATCAGTTGTTTGTAAGATTGTAACAACCATTTCGATGCACTTGTGGTATTAATTTTCTTACTATATCTACAAGGAATTTATTTCTTTCGTATTCTTTTTCTGCTACAATTTCTATCTTATTCAGTTATGCAACCACCAATCTAAGTATGTCAAAAAATTTACACCTTTGTTAGTCAGCTTACCAGAAAACATAATCTTTTATGGATGTCAGTGTCATAAAACTTGTGCTTCTCTGTATCAATTGGTTAATAGAGTTGTCCGTTACACCTTTGTCACTTTTTTGGAAATTTGAACGTATTTTCTCCAGACGTCAAATGTTAACAAATCCAGTTCAAACATGAGACCGAGACTTTATAGGCATCTATTTAGTTTTTCCATTCCGTAGAATTGGGGAAAAAGAATGGACAATGTGCTTGCTTTATGCAAAAATCAAGTTGCCCTGGTAGACTAAGAAACTCCATTTCAAATGCAGCGAAACCATCTACCAATAGAAGGATAGGTACAACTGCACCACACATCAAAGTGATGTTTTTATAAGCTTTTGTTGTGTTGACATGAAACAGTTACGTTGAGACAAGTGATCACCTATGATTTTGAAAGTGTGTGATATTTAGAGTTTCTGTTGGGTTTGAATGTCTGTCTGACATTTTTGGTATTTTTGACTAGTTGGACATGAATTTAACATGATAATTTGTACTTGATGAGGATAAAAAATACTGTTCTAGTTGTCCTAAAGTGGAATGCTCTATGCCATGTCAGACCAGGTGTTATGGCTGGTAAGGCTGCTGGAATTGAAGTGGTTGCTGTACCATCTCTTCCAAAACAATCCCATCTTTACACTTCGGCGGATGAGGTGATCAACTCTCTTCTTGATTTGCGACCTGAAAAGTGGGGCCTGCCTCCATTTCAAGATTGTAAACATCTACCACTGTTACTACCATATTCTAACTAGGTTGTTCTTGTGAGTCATTTTCATCCAAACCATTGAATTGTAATTGCAGGGATAGAGGGTACTTTACCAATAGAACCATGGCATGTTGGCGGTCCTGTTATTAAAGGATTTGGTCGTGGGTCAAAGGTGCTTGGAATCCCTACAGGTGCCTAAACTTTGTGGTCATCATTTCCTTAGCAGCATACATTTCCCATCATCAGGACGAAACAAAAGCAGCAACTATCCCTGTGAATATATCTTGGAACTCTGGATGTTATTTGCATAAAATCAAAACACACCTCTGGTTGTACCTTACTCAGCTCAAGTTAATATTTGCATTCTTAAGTCCTTTATGCTGTTCAATTTTAGCTTTAGATAGTTAGTTTTGCTTTCAATTCTGAGACAACCTTGAGGTCTTCCTTTTGCTGGATTGACTTGGGAGAGTTAAGGTTTTTACCATTAACCATTTCCTTTCTCTTGTTCTTTTTTCTCTCATTGGTGGTGTTGTTTTCACTTATTTATTTTCCTTTTAGTGAATCACTTATTTTTAGTTTCTCTTGTTGTTCTTTCAGCTAATTTGTCCACAGAAGGGTATTCTACTCTCCTTTCAGAACATTCCTCGGGGGTCTATTTTGGTTGGGCTGGATTATCAACACGAGGTGTTTACAAGATGGTCATGAGTATTGGCTGGAATCTATATTTTGACAACACTGAGAAGACCATAGTGAGTACAGTGTGGATTTTGGTGGTAACCTAAGCAAATCCTTATATTAGTTCCTAAATCATGTTTATAATTTTAGGAGCCGTGGTTGCTTCATGACTTTAATGAGGATTTCTATGGAGAAGAATTACGTCTTGTTATTGTAGGCTATATACGGCCTGAGGTATCATATAAACCTAGGCTGCTACTCCTTTCAGTTGTTTCCATCCCTCTAATCCTTGTTTCAAGTTTACTGATAGCGAGCTTGGAAAATGACAGGCCAATTTCCCATCCCTTGAAAGCCTGATTGCAAAAATTCATGAGGACAGGGAAATTGCAGAGAGAGCTCTTGAACTTCCTTTATACTCGAAGTGCAGGGACGACCCGTATCTGAAAAGTGCTTTGCCTGTGGGTGACAGTCATTTATAGCTTTTGAAATTTGATTTTTGGATCCCATTGCCTGTGGGATTGCCTATAATCTCTCATTGGAAAGGAAAAGATTGTGACAATAATACTCCACCAGTTATCAGATTTTATGCAAGGCCTACAATGACAGATGGGTGTTACGAGAAATACCGGAAAGGTGGAGGCAAATTTTTTTTCAAGAATTGCACATTTCGAGTTATATTCGAGAAAGGAAGATGGGAAGAAATTTAGTGACACAAAATAATTTATCGAGTGTGTTTATGTAACGCAAGGAGTGACATTTGATCATTGCTGATGATTTTGGGTAGTCATGTGTTACACTATCCTTATTTATGCCACTATCATAACTATAAATTTTTCATTTTTGACTTCAATTTATTGTATTTTAGCATTTGCTGGTGCTTACATGCGAATTTAACATGATAGCAGGAACACCGAATTGAAGATTAATCCATTGGGTATTTTGGAAAAGGCCTCAGGGAAATAGTATTTTCAAGCCCTAAGCTTGAGTCAAGATTTACGAAATGTTCGTAGTTTAGAGATCGCGTTGTCCATTAGCCGCTAACATAGCATTCGTGGTCTTCTTCATTGGGTAACTGTGTTTTTGCTCCAAAGGGTGCTTATGATGTATGTTTAGGACAACTCTCCGTTTTCTGCATTTGTTACTGTTTATATATTGCATTCATGAAGCCTGATGCTTCACTGCCCAACTTTACAGGTTTAATGTGCTAACATAATTGCCCTAAAAAGAAGCAGATGAAGAGCTCTATGCGCTCACTTCACGCTTTCGAATTTTTATTCATGAATGAATGCCAATAGAAAGATTCGATTCTGACTTCTTAGAGTCGATGCTGCTGTTGCCTATATAACATAATCTTTCTTTTTGTAGGTACCTCTTGAGGTGCCCTACCTATATATCTTAGTTGGCGGTTCTCTCGGATCTACTTTTGTCTCGTTTGCATCTCTAGGGGGTAGAGGAAGCTAAAAAGAGGATTCTTACAAGTTCTGTTGTTCTGAAATAAAAAATACCCCCGTCATAGTAAATCTCTCCTCGTGATCGGGATGAGGCACATGCCTCTTAGCCGAAGAGTGGTTTGAATCAGAGTTTCCTTAAGCAGCCTCCGTCCTATAATTATTCTTATACTTTCATACTTGGTGGAGAAGAATCGAACAAAGATGTGTAAAGATTATTTCCGTGGCATGATACAATGGCACTAATGTCACAACTAATCAAGTTTGCTCTAGATTCACTCTCTAAAATTCGATTGGATCAAAAGCAAATCCAAATGTAGGAGGAGCCCAACCCATAACCTACTTTGACTTCGGTGTACCTTTAAAGATTAATTTTTCGTAATATACTCTTAATGTATCAAAATTATTATAATATAATTATTCTGTTGACTTTTATTATTTTTTTGTCAAAATTCAATCTATTAACATTGTCGAAAAAACTTATAGGAATGTCACATTCAAATACTTTTAACATATTAATAGTATAATATGAAAAATTTAATCTTTAAAGATACAAAATAAAAAAGGGTTAATCTCATTTTGCACCCCGAAAGATTGTTCGAATCTCAATTTACACCCTCAAAGATCAAAAATCTCAATTTACACCCTTAAAGATAGGAATTTGTATCAATGTGCACCCCCAAAGATCAAAAATCTCAATTTGCACCCTCAAAGATATAAATTTATATCAATGTGCACCCTAAAGATAAAAAATCTCAATTTGCACCCTCAAAGATAGAAATTTGTATCAATATGCACCTAAAAACTAAATTGATAAATTATACCTAGATCCCCTCATACTTGCCATTTAATCATTTAGACCTCTTCACATTTAGAATATTACTCCTACATCTTTTGACATTTGTGCACGTATAACACGTAACCCATTTTTATTGATATCTATTAATATAACCGTTAAAAATATAATTTTATCCTAATAAAAAATTATAATTTCATATTACCCTTTATTTTATGGGTTTAATATATTCTAAAGTTCAAAATCTAGTTTACCATTTGAATGTCTAATAAAATGTAAATATTTATATAATATTTTTCATATTACCTTTTATATAAATATCTACATTTTATTAGACATTCAAATGGTAAGCTTGATTTTTAACTTTAAAGTATATCGAATCCACAAAATAAAAGGTAATATGAAATTATAATTTTTTATTAGGATAAAATCATATTTTTTAATGATTATATTAATAGATATTAACGAAAAGTGGTTATGTGTTACACATGCACAAACGTCATGACATGTAAGGAGAATATTCTAAATGTGAAGGAGTTCAAATGATTAAGTGACAAACATGAGAGGATCTAGGTATAATTTATCAATTTAATTTTAGGTGCACATTGATACAAATTTCTATCTTTGAGGGTGCAAATTGAGATTTTTTATCTTTGAGGATGCACATTGATACAAATTTCTATCTTTGAGGGTGTAAATTGAGATTTTTGATCTTTGGGGGTACAAATTGAGATTTGAACAATCTTTTAGGGTGCAAAATGAGATTAACCTAATAAAAAATTTTAAAATCTTGGATTAATTATAAATTGCACCTTGAAAAATTGTACAAATTTCAACTTTCACCCCCAAATATCAAAAATCTCAATTTACACTCTCAAAGATAGAAAGTTGTATCAATTTGAACACTCAAAAATAGAAATTTGTATCAATATGCACTCTCAAAGATCAAAAATCTCAATTTACATCTTCAAAATTAAAAATTTGTATCAATGTGCACCTAAAACTAACTGCTGTCAATTTACTGCCTAAATTGATAAATTATACCTAGATCCCCTCATACTTGTCATTTAATCATTTGAACCCTTCACAAAATAAAGAGTAATATGCTAAATTGATAAATTATACCTAGATCCCATCATATTTTTCATTTAATCATTTGAACCCTTCACAAAATAAAGAATAATATAAAATTATAATTTTTTTATTAGGATAAAATTATATTTTTTAACGGTTATAAAATACTATTAATTTAAAATGTCCCCCCAATTGGACATTCAAATAATTATGTTTAAGTGATATATTGCATTGAATAGAATAAAATATTATATAAACACCTACATTCTATTGGACATTCAAATTATGAGCTTGATTTTAAACTTTAGAGTATATCGGACCCATAAAATAAAGTGTAATATGAAATTATAATTTTTTATTAGAATAAAATCATATTTTTTAACAGTTATATTAACATATATCAACTAAAAAGGGTTACGTGTTATACATACATAAACGTCATGAGATGTAAAAGTAATATTCTAAATGTAAAGAAGTTCAAATAATTAAGTGACAAGCGTGAGCCGATCTAGGTATAATTTATCAATTTAATTTTAGGTAATAAATTAACGGCGGTTAATTTTAGGTGTACATTTATACAAATTTTTATTTTTGAGAGTGTAAATTAAAATTTTTGATCTTTAGAAGTGCACATTAATATACATTTATATTTTTGAAGATAAAAATTAAAAATTTTAATTTTTAGAGATACACATTGATATAAATTTCTATCGGTATAAATTAAAATTTTTTATCTGAAAATACAAATTAAAATCGAATGATCTTCCAAAATACAATTTACAATTATCCCTAAAATTTATTAGGGCGTAAAGCGCAATTTGCCCAACTCTTTCAAACCCAAAACCCTTGATGGCGGTCGTATGAGACTCCCAAAGAACACAACTCTACCCCCTTGAGCTTAAACTGGAGCAGTGTCTGTAAACAGAACCAATGGGAGAGGAAGAAGAAGATCAGCAGACCAATTTGGACACTGAAGCCGCAGAAATCACAGAACAACCAGCCGATCAAGCCTACTCTTGGCCGGTGATTCGATTCGATGTTCAGCCATATAGAACTTACCACTTCTATCAACAGTTCAGAACCCCCTCGAACCCTAATAATTTCCATAAAGGCGTCAAATGGTAATTTTGTTCGCCCCCAGTTGTTCTGTTCATTACAAATCCTTCTGGTAAGAACCATAATTTGTTGTTTTTCTTTCTTCGATTTCTGATTTTGTTGAGTGATTTCAGGTCGCCGGACGGTTCTTGCTTCCTCACGTGCTCTGACGATAATACCTTTCGTATATTCCCATTGTAAGTTTGTATTTATATATATGCAGGAATACATGTATCTATCTCTCTTTATGTGTGTATATGTGTGTGCGGGTGGTGTTTGTGATGTGAACGTCCATTGAGCTGAACTTACATTTTTTTTTTTTCATTACCAAAACAAAATTGAAAAACCCCCACCTTTGCTTTCCAATTCGGGCAAGATGGTGGATTGCCCTTTACTAGTAGGGGTCTACCGTGACTGCTTCTTTTATTCGACCAACCTAAAGTAGCTGCCTTTATATCCAATCCAACCCACAATGCTGCAGTTATCAGCACGAGCTTTTATCCCTGTAATTCTGAATAAAAGTTAAGCTTTATATAGCCTATACCATAGTTATCAAATCGTGTATCGGAAGGCGTATCGTAAGATACAAATATTGTATCGTATCGTGTATCGTATCGTGTATCGTAAGATACGATGCAATTTTAAATAAATAATAAAAAAATATATATACATTTGAAAAAAAGTCATACACTCATAAAAAATATAGCATTTCATTAATACTCCACCAACTATTCAAGTTATCAACATAATCCACTACTATTATAATGCAAAGTTCACAACCATAGTTCACTAATTCAAACTTTAAACACCAAAGAGACTTCTAATCCAAATTTCTAACATCCATTTTGAACTCAATCTTCAATTTCAATTGAAAATGCATCATCATCATCATCATTGTGATCGGATGCCAACAAGTCTTCACTTGTCGTTTTTTTTAAAAAAAAATCAGAGCACAAAACGACGTCGTTTTTTTAAAAAAAAAAAAAAAAAAAAAAAAAAAAAAAAATTGCACGTATCGTGCGTATCGTACCGATACGTATCGTATCGTAAAAACGTATCGTGTATC